ACTATTATAATTGTTCAGGGCGGAGGACTTGTGGAGGAGTCTAGGGGGGAAAGGGGGTTTGGATAGGTTTGTTGTAAATGAACAACATAGAGTGCGACGAACTTTCGGACCGGCGCAGTATTACTATAGTTAATACTATAGCTATGATTATTATTACTATCCAGGAGTTCTGCTTTCAACGACACCCCAGAGCTTCCCTGCGGGGGTCTCTGTGTTTGCCCGGTCAGGAGCACCTCGCCCGTCACGGAAGGCAGCGTACACGGCCTCTGAAGCTTCGCAGATTTTCGTAGCACCAGGGGCGGCGGGCGTGGCTTGTGCTGCTACATACAGTAGCTCCGAAGTAGATTACCGTGGTTGCTTTTAGAGTTGCTTGCCTTTGTTGAGGGCATGCTGGTAGAGCAACCTAAAGAGGCAATCAGCAACCGTGTGGACAAGAAAGCCTTCGCAGCTCATGGCAAACACATTGAGCGGCGGCTGTCACTTCAGTCGTCTGCCCCGCAAGTGCTTGTGCTGAGGGGCCAGCTGCGCGTGCACACCCTGTAAATCTTTGGGTCAGTTCGAGAATCTTCGGGTCGTTCTCCTGAAGAGCAGCCAGCACCGGGATGCAAATTAGCATGTCAGCAGTCATTCAATTCGACGTCTTCTGCAAGGCGGTGAAGCCGGGGGCTCGGCCAGGACTGCAGCATGGTCCATCGCCCCAAAGAGAGCGACCACCTGGGAAAGGAAATCAACTCGCTGCGTCCTTGATCACAGCTTCATTTTGCCTGAATGGTTCTGCCAAGGGTTCGCACCATGCCCAGTGGATTCATGGATGTCTCTTCACCGCCTCAGCGACCAATTCTGCATTAGAGGGCTATTCTTCCGCCTTTCCGGAGAGTCCCAGAACATCCCAGAGCTCGAGGCGCAAGTGGGCATGCCAGAGGTCCGCCACCGTTCCGTGGGAGGCCTCCCATCCGAATCTCTGGCGCATCGGAACATCCCAACTGAATTATCATATCTTCCTATATCATGCATCTTTGTATGTGCGAATGCTTCAAAATCAATCTCAATGTGTGTGTGTGTGTGAGAGTGTGCTATGTATATATGTATATGTATATACATACATACAAATGTATATATAGCTTATATATAATATTCTACAAACACATTGGAGCGAGGTTCCGCACAAAGCTCCTACACCCTGTACAAATTAGACTCGCCACGCCTGCAGTACCTACTTGTGAGGGCATTGGGGCGAGGTTCTGGACGTATTTTCGTGGCCGCACTCTTCAAGTAAAGCTCGTTGACAGCGAGCGGCGAAGATAGAAAGAGGCAGAGGGCGAGAGAGAGAGAGAGGGAGCAGAGCGTGTGCGTGTGCGTGTGCTCACTCTTTCGATGTGAGGTGGGGAGCCTCGAACTCCTTGATCAAGGCTCCGTCCTGGCACTCTGATCCCCAGAACAGAGGCAACTCGTGAAGTTCTCCACCCAACCTCTCGCTTCCCAATGAGGTTCGACGTGATGAAGCCCGGGCTTCGATGCACCTGGGCCACCTCCGGGACCAATTGCAGGTTGGCTTCTTCCCCAGGTCTGCATCGAATTTGCCTCGTCTGTGAGCATGTCGCCGTCGTAGTTGTGACCTGGTACTGTCGATGCTTTCAGCTCACATGCCGCAGCAAGAAATCCCAGCGCCTGAAACCTTCCTTCGAGGGCTGTCTGACACGGGCTGAGGCTGTTGCAGGCCATGCCGAACCCACCGTCGGTCCATCGAATGATCTGCATTGTTGCAGCCTTGGCTGGAAGCAATGTTCAGAGGTGGGGAAAGCAGCAGCCGAGCTTGACATGGCACATCATGGCACGGTGAGGCAGCACATCTTGGGAGCAGGCATCGCTGATCAGGTGCTGCCTTCGGGTCAAAACAAGCTGTTCTGCATGAGGGGTGCAATGTGAACCATACCGACCACACTTGGACAAATCGCTAACTTCAGGGTGTTGGGAGCCCGACAGTTCTCCTCCTGTCTTGTCCTTGGAGGATTGGCGCTCGATTTTGGGCTCTGACAAGCAACAGGTGTGCTCTGACAAGTCTGCGACATCAGTCGAGGTCCAGAGTTAGAGAGTGGAGTCTTTGGGCGGTGCTTGTGAAGACAAACGTGGCCCCGTCACTGGGATGCTGCAAGACTGGCCAGCAGATTCTCATGCACTTGATGTCGAGCTTTAGCCGTCTAGCCAACCACGGCATGGCAATAGTCACCACTGGCACAGGACGACACACGACCCGTCGCATGTGCTCGAAAACTCATGAGTTCATAAGAGATGTGATGAGGCAAGACAACAGTTGACCACGTACACCTTCAGCCCTCCGCTCAAGCTCTAAGCTCTCAAGTCTGGGTGTCCCGAGCCAAGAGACCGGCGGACAGAAAGGCTGCCTGACAGGAGATGATTTCAGCGCTCACGACATGAACTGTGTGTCAGTTGCACGCGAGGTCAGCGAGCTCTGACTACAGGCGAAGACTGTGACAAATGCGATGCGAGCGAAAGGTCATTGATGGGCCGTAACGGTATGTCTGCCACGCGATCTTACCTCATCGTCATTTAATTTATGTCGCAGCGTCAATTATTAGGTCTTGCAGACCCAATAGATCACAGCTCTTGCCGGACACTTGCTGGCCTTGTACTCGGAATCAAAGACGTCCCGCATGATCTGCCAAAAGCCTTCCTGCCACTTGAAGACCTTAAGAGATGCTGAGAGGTTGAGGCTCTCGCAATTCGAATCTCCGGTAGTCTCTCTAAGTTCTCTAAGCTGAAGACCATGGGTCAAATTCAACCCATGTGCCATTCGCGCATTGGCGGGTTCCAAACTACAAGCGATCTAGGCAGAAGCACAGGCTGCGCCTGGGGAAAATGACGCAAACGACATCCCAAAGCAGCCACGAGTCACTTCGACGGACACGCGCAAGCAACCACAGCCCGGAGCCCCAAAGCGGGCGCCAAGACGCAAAACCGAAAGCCCGAAAGCCTAGTCAGGTCCCATGATGCCCTTGGGGCCCGCACGGTCTTCTTGGTGACGACGTAAGGCACCACCTGGCAGACAGCCCTGAGGCGCTATCATGCGCTATCAGGTCAGACGAAGGACGCATACAGCAAAATCAGGTTTCGGCTGGCGCTTCGACGAAAAAGATATTCAGAGCAATACAGCTGACTCTTGAGGTTGCCGTGTTAGGACTGTGCAATCCGTCAACAAGCTCCACTCCGCAAGCGAGACGGCAACAGAAACCTGTCCTCGCATGTACGATACTAGACCATCCAATCCAACGCAAGTCCACCGAGACGGACGAGCTGTGTCGGCCCGCGCATTGATGGCAGATAAATCATTAGAGATGCATACCCAGACTGCTGAGTATACCAGTAGACACACGAATGCGCAAGACAGGCAAAAGGAACAAGGCAAAAGGCCCGTCTATGTTTTATGCCTACGCTTTGAAATCTGTCTTGTATGCATCACAGCCACAGTCAAATCACGGCGGTCAGGGCCTTCCAACAATTTTACGCAGTACATACGCATAAAATGCTCCAGATTAACACCTAGAAACGCCTGACCCTACAACGCCGACAATGAGCTTACACGTGTGTTCAATGCCACAGCCATGCCGGCATCGCATTTGCTTCCAAACATCTCTGAAAGAAGACGTGGGCGAGGTCCTGGCGCAAAGGGCATGAACGTGCGTATAGTATCTGTGTGCACCTGAAGCTCGCTAGCGCTGGAAGCTACAAAGCGTTTGATCATAACTCACCGGCACAGTTTGGGAACCTCGACATTATCCAATGGGTTGTCGTAGACCACGCAGACCTCTGTAACAAAGATTGCAACTGCAGATGCGCGATGCTGCGACTGCTTGTCGTCTATGCGCCAGAAGCTGACGTGTGAAAAGCCTCAGGTCGCTGCACTTCGATCGTCCTTGAGCTCCCTTCCATCCACAATCGTCGGCTTTCCCTGCAGGGAGCTTGGCTCAGAACGTTCCTAGGTGTGACCCTCCGGCGTTCTTTTGTATAAAGCTAAGCAGCTGCCAAAAAAGGTCATGAACTACCATGTCCCTCCAAGTCCCACCGTCACACACCGCACCGCTGGCCAGCCTTGCCTCGTCCATGTTCTCGGGAAAGAAAGTCGTGAGCAGGCGGCCTTTGCCAACCTGCATGGCGGCGGCATTCACAGCCGGCATAAAGCTGGCACGTGTGCCACAGCGAAGCCTTCTTCCAGCCGGCGCCGTACTCACCGCCGACTGCATGCCGCTCGAAAAGGACCGGACGCTTGAACCCCAGCTCAATGCCGGGAATGTGGATCGTGTCCTGCTGAGATATGTCGACCCGCTCTTCAGAATTACTAATGCTGCAGGAACTTTCGTCTCTTTGGCCGCTACAAATGCCCCTAACCAGACCGCTCTGCATGCTCAGCTGTCCCGCGAGATGGTGATGCCGTTCCATCCTCTTCGCCTGAAACACCCCACAGTCGTGAACCTGTGTGTTGAACTCCATGAGTCTTCCCTGCCAGACTTCCCCTCTGCCGCTGCCTCTTACCATCACCCGACCTCCGAGTATATAACTTCCAGCCGCACTGGGCCCCTCGCATCGCACCGTTGGGTGAGCCGAGCGCTTTGCTAAGACCCATTTCTGCCATCCTGAGCGTTGGCATCTGTGCTGCAGTGCTGTCGCTGTTGGTTGTAGCCTTCGAACAATCACATCAGCCGCCGAGCTCGTTTCCCATGCACGTTGCCCGAAGGTTCGACCGTTTCGGCCGCAAAAGGCGCCCGCACGCGCTGCGGCACATGGACTGCAATTGCCAGGTCCAGTGCTTCGGCGGGCTTCTGTAAGGCCTGGCCCCGCTGACTCCGAAATCGGCCAGCCTTTTTGCTTTCGTCTTCCGTGAAAACTTGTGTCGGGCAGAAATTAAGCTCCGTCTCGCATGAACATATTTGGTCGGACAGAAACGTCTGGGGATCTCGGTGAGCGGGGCGCTTT